TGTGGGCTGTGGCCCAAAGTCAAATAAAATATGTAATTGGGTTTGGGGCTTTGGGCTGTATTAATATTACCAAATTCGGTATTTCGGTAAACCGAAATAATTCAATTATAAAACCGAACTGAAATACCGAAATTCAAGTACCGAATTAGACCGAAATACCGAAAAAACCGAAACCGAAATACCAAATTAATTTGGTTCGGTTCGGAATTCGGTTTTNACGAAATCGAAATACCAAATTAATTTGGTTCGGTTCGAAATTCGGTTTTTCGGATTTTATGCCCACCCCTACCTGGGCGCGCTAGTTGCTCAACGTTTCTGTGTTGGCCGTGCTAAAATGAGCGCGCTCGCGCACCTGGGCGCGCTAGTTCCATCAAAACTTTGGCGTTTTTGGGTAAATTTTTTCATTTTTTTATTTGTTTAATCTGTAGACTAAATTACCCCTCCCCCTACTAACCCCCTCCCCGTCTCTTCTTCCCTTTCAAATAAAAATGCCCAGTCAAACACACACAAAATCAAAATCCTCTTCCCCCATTCTTCAAATCGAACCCCACCAACAAAAAAAATCCCTGCCCCATCTCACGACTCCTTTCCCCCTGAGTTCACTAGCATCTTCCCCATTCTCCTTCACCACAGGTATGATCCCTAATTTCTTTCTTCTCTTTTTTTCTCTTTATTTTTCTGATTTGTTTGTTGTATTCTTATGCTTATGTTGTAGTAGTTGTACTTAGATTTTGTGTAGAAATTNTCAAGACGTGAGTTGCTACCCTAAAACTTTTAGCAAAAATATTTTGTTTCCTAATTATATTATCACTTATACTCTTATTAAAAAAAATTCATGAAAGACTTAATTGTCTGATCCTAAAACTCTATATAGTTTTAATTTTAATTTCAATTTGTATTTTTAAAGGGTGGTTCTTCAACTAAAAAACTCAAGAATCTACTTGTATATATAAAAATTCAAAGGCAGTGTGCTATTAACTTTCTTGTTTGTTTTCTCCAAGGGATTTGAATCCAACGCTAGACCAACTCAACCAGAAAACAAACGTTCTATCAACTCAACATACCATTCCTTTGGTATTGAAAAGCAACAGTGAAATAATTCTCTATATCTATTTGTTATCGACGTTATTGTCTATTGTACTAGTACAACATGATATACTTAACAATTTCATTCAGAAAATAAGGATAAAATAAATGTCGACGAAATAGCTGGTTTAACATTATGTATTTCGTGCTCTTACAGACGTTACTTGTTTGTGGGCATATGATAAATAAAGAAGTGTAACGTTTACCTGAATCACTCGTATGTGTATTTTATGGGTCAGTTGTTGGATAATAGAATTAAGATAATACGTATACCATTTGAAAGAAAAAATTCGAACAGGGAATCGCAAGTTCCACAATTTTTTAGCAAATAAAATTTTAGAATGTCTAAGGTTTGATAATTGATATGATCAGCAACTTCACAGAAGTAATCGTTCAAACAACAAATTGTCAATCTATTAGATGGTTATACGATTCCATATATTATTGATCATATGTATACGTAGTTCGTTCATGAATGGCATGACCCCTTGGAATCCAATAAAATACGCGAAATACATAAACGGGCCTATTTATGTTGTCCCTAACGACAAATCAGACAATTCAACTGAGCCATTTTCAGCTAGACACTTTATTCATTCACAAAAGACGATTAACTAACACCCGACCCTATCAAACCCCATCGCGTGAAATACACTTGTTGAACAATGAGCGTGTGAAAGTAAAGTTCAAGCTGTTGTTGAAATATTCCAGCTAGGATCTAGCTCATGTTAAGTTAGTCAAGCTATTAGAGGTGTATGTGTAATAGTTAGTTAGTTAGTTAGTTACAGCTATAAATACAATGTACATGTAGTAGTTAGAGTACAATTCCTTTTCCAGAAATTCCTTTTCCAGAAATAGAGTATTTCTGCATCTTCTCTGATTCGATCCTCTTCTTCGTCTTCTCTCAAGCTGCAAACTCCATTTTCATCGAAGTTATCATGGTATCAGAGCCTGTGACAGCGATCGCTGGCACTCGATAGCTCAGCTGTCTTCATTAGATTCTCTGATTCTCTCAACTAAGTAGGTGAATTCACGTGATGGAACTCAATTGAAGCTAGGGCTTGGGTTATCTATTGTTTCTCTCCTTATCTAGCTAGAGATGGTGATTGAAGATGCAATCAATGGTGCTACTCTTGCTAATGCTACTGAAACCTCAAATCCAGTGAATGCTACAACTGGAGGAAGTTTCTTCCCTACAATCGACCACAATCTCCCCTTGTACCTGCAACCAATCGACACACCAGGTAGTTCTTTGATCTCTCTTAAGTTAATTGGGTCTGAAAACTGTGCATTGTGGAGTCGTGCTATGCGAATTGGACTGCTAGGGAAAAGCAAGCTAGGGTTTATAGATGGTCGATATCCTAAGTCTAGATTTGCTCCAGAATGACATGATCTATGGGAAAAGGTAAATTATGTTGTCCTTTCATGGATTATGAATGATGTTAGACCTGGTTTGCTAAGTAGTATGTTGTATGCATCGAGTGCATATAAGGGCTGGGAGGATTTGAGATAGAGGTTTGATAAGGTGAATGGCTCGAGGGTGCAGTTTCTTCACAAGGAAATCCACTCATCGAGTCAGGGTACTTGACAGTGGCTGATTATTTCTCTAAACTTAGAGACTTATGGGATGAGTTTGATGCAATTATGCCATATTCAGGGTGACCATGTCCAGAATCTAAGAAGTATTCAAAGCACTTTGAATATCAAAGGCTACTTTAGTTCTTAACTAGATTCAATAAAACCTACACTCAAGCCAGAAATCAGAACGTGATGATACATCCAACTCCTTCCTTTAACAAGGCATACTCCTTGATTATTGATCAAGAGATCCAAAGGAACTTTGCCAACCTTACACAAATTGTTCAAACCTCTGAGCATTTGGAAGGAGCTGCTTTGTATAGTATCAAGGGAGCAGGCTACACTGGAGGTAATCTCAAGTCTAAGAAGAATCTGCTGTAGTGTGAGTATTATCACTACAAAGGTCACACAAAGGTAAATTGCTACAAATTGATTGGCTATCCACCAGATTTTAAGTCAAAGAAGAAGGGAGGTAATTCAGGTAATTTTGCAAACTATGCTTGTAATTCTGATGCTAACTCAACAACAGCAAACTATGTGAGAAGTCCAACTCCACCAACTTTACTTCAGACACAACAACAAGGAAGGAATGGTCCCACACCAGCTGATATTCCTATGACACAGTCATCAGCTCCATTCTGTACACAAGAACAGTATCAGCAGATCATTTAACTACTAAATAAGGGATGTGATGACGGGCCATCTGTAAAAATAGTTGCTGCAGCAGGTACTATGAAAGCTCTATTCACTTGTTGTGTTAATAAAGAGTGGATAATAGACACAGGAGCAACAGATCATATGGCATCTGCCTTAGAAATGTTGAAAACTTTTAAACAGATACCTGAATCTTAAAGGAGTAAGGTTCATTTACCCACAGTTGATGTAGCTTTTGTATCCCATACAGGAAAAGGTTCTGTGTTTGAGGGTTAGGACATATCTAATGTACTTTATATCCCAAATTTTAAATACAACCTAATGTTTGTGTCTAAGATTATAAAGGAACTACAGTGTTCAACATGTTCTTTCCTGATTTCTGCATCTTCTAGGATCTTTGGAGTGGTCAGATGAAAGCGAATGGTAAGGAGGACCATGGACAATATGTGCTAAAGAAGAACTCCACACAGCAAGGTTCACCATTAGAAGGAAATAAAAGTGGATGTACAGCTAGTCATTCTTTTACTACTAGTTTACGGTGGCACAAAAAGTTAGGACATGAACCTCTTGATGTAATAAAAAGACATGATATGCTTAGACATGTAACAGAGGGTGAGCATAATACTTGTAATGTTTGTCCTCTAGCTAAACAAACAAGACTGCCCTTTCCATTGAGTAATATAGTATCAAAATCTGCTTTTGAATTGATTCATTGTGGTATTTGGGATCCTTATAGAGTACCAACCTATGATGGTAAAGGTACTTTGTGACCATTGTGGATGATTTCACAAGATACACTTGGATATTTCTGATTTATTCCAAGTCAGACACATTGATAGTGCTGAGGAATTTCTTTGCCAAAGTACACAACTTGTTTTCTACTCAAGTGAAAATACTTAGAATAGATAATGTATGTGAGTTCTTCAGTACCGAGTTTACTAGTTTATTACTAGATAGGCATTGTCCATCAAAGTACTTGTATGTATACTCCTCAATAGAATGGTGTTGCTGAGAGAAGGCATAGGACAATTCTAGATATGGCCAGATCACTCAGATTCCAGGCCTTAATACCTTTAAGATTTTGGGGAGACTGTGTCGAAACTGCTTTGTACTTGCTCAACAGGCTCCCCTCCAAAGTCATTGGGTACAAGTCACCTTTTGAGAAGCTTTATTTGCATTCTCCTTCCTTGAATCATTTAAGAGTGTTTGGATACTTATGCTATGTAACCAGTCGCCATACACATGATAAGTTTTCCTCTAGGACAATTCCATATGTGCTCATGGGATATTCTCCAACTCAAAAGGGATATGCACTATATGATCTACATTCGAAGTCATTTTTTGTAAGAAGAAATGTAGTGTTTCATGAAGACATCTTTCCAAACAAGTACATAAGAAACTCAGGAACTCCTTTATTTCCAGTCTTGGACCTATTATCCCCAGCATTATATCAGCCTAATCCTAGCTCCTCTATTCTAATAGAACCCACTGAGGCTGCATTTGAAGCACCAAGTCCCACATCTCCATCCCAGGGGGAGATATTAGTGCAAGAAGGAGTAACTGACCTGATTTATTGATCACGGGCAACAACCATCTTCATATGTGTGGATGATTTATTGATCACAGGCAACAATCAAGGCATGTTGGATCAGACTAGGAAAGATTTGTAGAACAAGTTTAAAATGAAAGATCTAGGTGAGCTGAAATTCTTCCTGGGAATTGAGTTTCCTAGGTCTAAGAAGGCATAGTGACGAGTCAAAGAAAATATGCTTTAGAGCTCATTTCTAAATCAGGACTGAGTGGAGCAAATCCTGTAGGAACTCCACTAGAGATGAACCAAAAACTGACCTCTGTGTACTATGATACTTGGTTGCACAATCACAATGTAATTGCAGATGAAAAACTAAAGGATCCTAGTATCTATCAGGGACTAGTGGGAAGACTACTATACCTTACCATGACTAGACCAGACCTGGCATTTGCAGTTCAAGTTCTCAGCCAATTTATGCATTGTCCTAAAGATCCTCACTTAGAATATGCTCTCAGAGTGGTGAAATATACCATGGCAGAACCTGGCCTAGGAGTTCTAATGCCTGCAGAGAGCATAAGCAAGCTAACAGCCTATTGTGACTTAGATTGGGGAGCTTGTGTGGAGACAAAAAGGTCGGTTACAGGTTATCTAGTGAAATTTGGTGGTTCCCTTATCTCTTGGAAGTCAAATAAGCAAGAAAATGTTTTTAGGAGCTCGGTTGAAGCTGAATTTAGAAGCATGGCATCATGCACTGCTGAGATTACTTGGCTTGTGGGGATGTTTAAAGAACTGGGAATTCATGTGGATTTACCTGTTCAGCTGATGTGTGATAACAAACCTTCAATAGAAATTACAGCAAATCCAATTTCCCATGAAAGAACTAAGCATATTGATATAAACTATCACTTTGTAAGAGAGAGGATCATACATGGCTTGATTAAGACAGAGCATGTATCTACAAAGGAGAAACTGGCACACCTGCTTATAAAAGGCTTGGGCAAAGCACAACATGACTATCTACTAAGAAATCTTGGAGTGAAGAACCTATTTCAACCATCAGCTTAAGGGGGAGTGCTGAACAATGAGCGTGTGAAAATAAAGTTCAAGTTGTTGTTGAAATAGCTAGGATCCAGCTCATCTTAGGTTACTTAAGCTATTAAAGGTGTATGTATAATAGTTAGGTAGTTGGTTAGTTAGTTAGTTAGTTACAGCTATAAATACACTACATATGTAGCAGTTAGAGTACAATTCCTTTTTTCCAAATATATAGAGCATTTCTACATCTCTGATTCGATCCTCTTGTTCGTCTTCTCTCTAGCTGCAATCTCCATTTTCATGGAAGTTAGTAACACTCTCGGAGACGCGAGTTGCCTACGTAAATTAAGTTTTTTTTTCCCCTAAAAACAATATAGAACCCACCTATTTTCACACCTCCTTCTCCTCCAATTTTCTCCTCCACCATTCGATACCCTCCTCTATCCAAAATTACCTCTGCCTCTCCATCTTCTCTTCCTTCACTTCACACTTCAACACCCTATTTTCTAGCTCTTAAATCATCCCTTGCATGACCTAAATGACTAATAACGTAAATATTGTGAAAATATATTCAAAAAATGTGCTCTCACTCTTACCAATTATATATGTCTAATGCTATAAAAAATTTAGTTTTTCATATTTATGCATTTTCTTTCTCAAACCTATAATTTTCTTGTTCCGTGTACAAACCATTTGGATTTCCATGGCTTGATTTCTGTTTATTCAGTTTTTTAAATCTGCGAAATTTTTTGCTAACCAAGAGAATTTATGGTGCAGTTTTTGTTCTTATCCATATTACCCACTGTGACAAAGAAGAAATTAAAGTGTGCAATGAGCATTACAAGAACACAGAGGTCATGGAAGACGTTTTTTTGGGAAGAAGAAAGAAGGGTGTGGGTAGATTTAATTAAAAAATATTAAGGTTTTTAATAAGAGGGTTACTATTCTAAAAAAATCACGTGTCAATTAACGATTGGTTTGTTTGACACGCCATTTGTGATTTTAACTCACGCATGAGGTTTGTTAGACTCGGGTGTTTAAGAGACACACATTTGTGAATGAATGAAGTGTTAACTGAAAATGGGCTCAGTTGAATTATCTAACTAGTTGATGGAGTAACTTAAAGGGGTTATTTATGTATTTCGCCATAAAATACTAATATATACGCGATGCTCTTTTGTTTGGAAGAAATAGAGATAAGTGATATTTGCGGAAAGCACTACTGAGGGAATAGTAGGAAGAATGTGAAAGACTATAAATAGATCAGAAGGGCAGAATGTGTACTGGAACGAGTTGCTATCTTCCGGAAGAAGGGTAGACAGAAGAATAAGGCATTTAAAATATTATTCTCCCAATTCGCAGTTTATCTAAGATTAATTACTTTGGAAGAAAGTCCTTAAATCTTTTTATTTTCACATTTTAAATAAGGAAGTCCTTGACTGAAACATGGAATGATGCCCCTATAGACAAGGCAAATCTTTCCAAAATAATTTAACGTACATGTTTTTACACTTCTGATTTTTTTCAAGTAAATTAACCTTGGGTAAGTTCTTGAAAAACTTTCACTTTCTCGTGAACGGTGTATTCGGTCAAAATTGGGCCAACTCGATTTTGCTATTTGATCGAGACAAGGGGGTTGCATCGAGGGTAGCCTCGTAATGAATCAAACCTGAGCTCGAAGACGAGGCATTGAGTCCAAAAATCGAAGTGTCCGTTGAGACCGAGGCCAGCAACAATCGAGGCTAAGCATGACCAATTTCGAGTGAAGTAATAATGGAAAGGCGAAATATCCGTAACCGGACGAAGATCACAGCGAAAATCTTGGAACATATCAAATCAAGGGCGATTATTTGTACCAATCATAGGATTTACTTCCGTAGTTAGAATTGTACCATAATTAGGAATCATCTACTACATAAAGGGGAGTCCCCGTCATTTGTAGAGATCTTATATTCATGAATATTGAAGCAATATAATATTTCTTTCTTTTTCTTATCAACTTAATGTTCTTTAATTGTTCTTACTTTATTAAGCTCGAGGGTTCACCAACTCGAAGTTATTGACCAAACGCTGGTTTGCTTTGTATTATTGTCAATTTACATTATTTATCTCTATGTTTATCAACTGGTATTAGGTGAAATCACATATCCTTATAATCACATTACAAGTTTAATTGTTATCCAGTTTTTAGGGTAACAGTTTGGCGTCCACCGTGGGACTAAGGATAATAGTGATTGCTTAGTATTAATCTTCATAACACCTGCTGCTTTTACACTTGCTCTTGTAAGTGTCTTTGATTTCAGGAATCATAATGTCAAACTCTCAAGTAGTGCCCACTCACACAGACACCGGCCTTGGTTTTCATGGCGAGAACGAGCACATAGTCGCCCCGGAAAACGGAGTACCTTCAATCAATCTCGATGGACCACAGGCTGTAAATCCAATCGATGTCGATTCTTGTGTTGCGATTCATGGAAATTTAGGCACCGATCCTGAAAATAGCGTTTGCAGAGATGCCTGGGCAGCCGATCAAAATGCACAGGGCGGTGAAGAAGGCGAGATTAGCCTTCAAATGATATTTGAAATGTTACAAACTCAGCAGGCTGCAATAGCGCAACTCCAGAATTGGGTACCAAGCAGAATCGAACTCGATACATCACAAGAAGTTGTTCATAGCGTCGAACTAGTATAAGAGAAATTGTATGATAATGGATCGGGGACTGATCCTGCCGTTATGAAGATGCTTGAGGAGCTCACTAAACGGATAAAATCAGGTGAAAATAAAATTGAGGCTGATGACAAAAAGGTAGAAACGTACAACTCATGAGTTGACCAAATACTGGGGGTACCCCTGATCCTAAAAGGTTTGGATTCGAAGAAGTTCGTGTAGAAGCCTTTTCCTCAAAGTGCGGCTTCAAAGCCTTTTCCTAAGAAGTTCCATATGTCGGACATCCCCAAGTAGAACGGGACCACCGATCCTAACGAACACATCATTTCATACACACACAGAATAAAGGAAAATGACTTAGAAGATGATGAGATTGAATCCGTTTTGCTGAAAATATTTGGAGAAACTTTATCAAAGGGGGCAGTGATATGGTACCACAATTTGCCGCCAAATCCATCAATTCTTTCACCATGCTCGCCGACTCGTTCGTAAAGGAACATGCCGGAGCAATAAATGTTGCGACTTGGAAGTCGGACCTCTTCAAAGTGAGACAAAAGGAGAATGAAATTCTAAGGGAATTCGTATCTCGATTTCAGATGGAACGAGGGACCTACCCCCGGTTACTGATGATTAGGCTATTCAAGCCTATACTCAGGCTTTGAACGAGCGAAGTTCGGTAGCATCACGTTAACTAAAGAAGAATTTGATTGAATATCCAACAGTGACCTGGGCTGATATGCATAATCGGTACTAGTCAAAGATCAGAGTCGAGGATGATCAGTTGGGAGCCCCGTCTGATTCCGTTTACCCAAATAGATCTGAAGGCAGGATTCAAAGAGACACGATAGAGAGCCCTGATCGAACAAAGATCGGTATCAACCATATAGCGCAGATCATATGAACAACGGATCATGACGTAATCCCGTTCGAAGTGATCGAAAGAATGATCGAGGTCAAAATTCCCAAGGTCATGAGTAAGAGTAGCTTCGATAAACATGTCGAGCCTAAAGAAGCACCACGGTTATCTGAGTACAACTTCAGCGCCGATGCTTTAGGTATTGTATAAGCCATTGGACGAATCAAAGATACTAGGTGGCCCAGATCCCTACAAACCGATCTAGCTCAGAGGAATCCAAATCAAATGTGCTAGTACCACAGAACCCATAGTCACAGAACCGAAGACTGTAGACAGTTAAGGGAGGAGGTAGCTCGATTATTCAACGAGGGTCACCTTCGAGAGTTCTTAAGTGACCGAGCAAAAAATCACTTCAGAGACAGGGATGGAAATAGGAAAAACGAACAGGAGGAACCACAACACATGATGCATATGATCATCGGTGGGGTCGATATCCCTTAGGGTCCGACATTTAAATGCACCAAAGTCATAATCACAAGGGAGAAGCATACCTGGGACTACTTACCAGAAGATACCTTATCTTTCAACGATAAGGATGCAGAAGGGATCGAATAGTCTCACAACGACGCACTAGTAAGATCTATCCTTATGAATAAAATTCAAGCTAAACGTGTGTTGGTTGATCCAGGTAGCTCGGCGAATATTATTCGATCGAGGACCGTGGAGAAGCTCGGCCTTCAGGATCAAATCGTGCATGCAGCTCGAGTGCTCAATGGTTTCAACATGGCGAGTGAAACCACTAAAGGGGAAATAATGTTGCCAGTGAACATGGCTGGAGCTATCCAGGAAACAAAGTTCCACGTGATCGAAGGTGATATGAGGTACAATGCGCTGCTCGAAAGACCTTTGATCCATAATATGAGGGCAGTATCTTCAACGCTTTATCAAGTCTTGAAATTCCCAGCACAGGAAGGAGCAAAACGGTGTACGACGAATAACCAACAACCAAAGAGATGTTTGCAATCGACGAGGTGATACCTGTATCGACTCTAACATCAACAAAAGGACCAGAATCAAGGGAAAAGCAGAAGGTCCAATAGCAACCACAAGCTTAGACTAGATCGGAATAACAGGACATTATCGAGGATGATGATTACATAATACCTCGAACCTTCGTAATCACCTATGATTCCGATGCCACAAAGTCAACAGTCGAAGAAGTGGAACAAGTCATACTGATCGAGTATCTGCCCGATCGAAAGATATACATGGACACCAGGTTAACTCTCGAGCTCAGGAAAACTTATTAAATTCCTTATTAAAAATATGGATTGTTTTGCTTGGTCCCACCTTTACATGACATGGATCCCACCAGAGATCACCACTCATCGATTGAGTTTGGACCCGAAGTTCAGAACGGTAAATCAAAAGAGAAGGTCATAGCCCAAGGTAAAGCATGTATTCATCAAGGACGAGGTAACCAAACTCCTCAAAATATGATCCATC